CGAGGGCCATGAGTCCAAGGGCTCAAATGACTTGTGCTTTTTTTAAAAAAAAACCCTCAGCTTCTACCCCAGTTTCTCATTGGCTCCCACGAGAGGTTCCCAGCCCACTCTCACCACTGACCAAGAGGCCAGAGCCATCCATGGCACAAAAGAACTGGCCCTTCCATAAGTCAAATGACTTGATTTTAAAAAAAAAAAAGCCTCAGCTTCTGTCCCAGTCTCTCATTGACTCCAACGAGAAGTTCCCAGCCCACTCTCAACACTGACCAAGAGGCCAGAGCCGTCTAAAATTCAATTAAGCAGACACGACAGGAAGAAGCAAGAAAGTTAATAACAACAAAAAGTCATTCTATTTAGCTCTGGTATTATTAAGGCAGCCCAAGAAGTACACTCATGTTTAACTTTATAAAAGAATTCCACAAATTCTTGGTCATCCTATGTGTATCACTGAAAATCCTGTGGATGCTCTTTCTACTGGGACAAATAGAGTCACCACAAACTGGAACTGACTTATGTTAATGAGTTAACTACCAACCAGCCTGTGAGTCTCCACTTGAACTGAAAGATTAGGAAGAAAAATCATCAATTCCCATATTAAATCCAAACAGACAAAGTCTGTATAGTACTTGCTGAAAAAGGAAATTATTTTTCTCTGAAACAAAATTGCCTCGCATCTCACACATTCACAAACATATACCCACCAATTTACTAAGAATAAACATATTTACTCACCTGGAGGAACAACAAATTGACATGACTTCCCCCCCAAATGGTTCCATGGTAGTGGGTTCCTCCCACACGATAAGATACTTAACAAGTGCTGAGACATTTTTAGAAAAAGTAACTTGCTTACCCAGATGGAACTTCTCTTGATGCTTTAACCGTGCAAATCGTGATTTGAAGTGCTCTTCACAATAGGTGCACTTAAAAGGTTTATCTTGAGAATGTAGAATCATATGCTCTTCTAAATGTGGTCTTCGAGTAAAAGATTTCTTGCAAATCTAAATAAAAATGCACATATGATTTAAGAGAACCACACTGAAAGTTTAAATTCAAAGTTTATGACAGAGAAAAAAAACGCATATAAATTTAGTAAAGAAAATCCAACAAAATTAAGATTGTACTTATTAAAAAATAGCAAATTATTAACAATGATGAGTATTATTTGATAATTGTGTAGAAAATGCCCAGGAGGAAATATATTTAGCAATTATTTTAAATTAATATCCAAGTAAATGAATTTCCAGTCTTTAAGTCACTAATAGAGCTATGGGTTAATTATACTACTTAATGCTAGTTAGAATTCCTAAATCCATGAAGTATTAGGATTCTTATATCCATGAAATATATATTTAAATCACTTTGGTACCATAAATAAAAACCTTATGAGCAAGTTGTCTCTTAAAGCAATCAAGAGGAAGACACATACTTTTTAAAGAAATTAGGCAGATAATAAAAAAATGCACTATACACCAGGCACAATGCTAAGGAATTCATAAAATATTTTACTTAATTCTTTAGTTAAATTAGCATTAACAATCCTATGCCAAAAAATCTCGCAAACTCACTGCTGTGAAGTTAGAACTCCCTCATAGTCAATACTCCAGCAGGTTTTCAGATGGTATAAATCAGAAAGGAGGAAACTGCTCACCTTTCTCCCCCAGAACAGCTGGTGGATTCAAACTGTCTTCCTTGGGTTGGCAGCACAACTCCTTAGCCACTAGGCCACCAAAGCTAGCTAGCAATCTTATGAGGTAGCTATCATTATTATCAGCATTTTACAATTAAGGATAATAAAGAAGGTTAAATAATCCTAGAAGAAGAAGCTATCCTATGATCCTGATATAATTAACTCATTTTTGTCAAGTGGGAACAGACTCATAGTTGACCCTCCAGCAAGTTTTCAAGAGGCTGTAAATCACTTGGGAGAGGACTGCCCCTATTTCTTCCATGAAGCTACTGTGGATTCAAACTATCAATGAAGCACTACCTTTGATTTAGCTGTGTAATTTCATATATACTTTACCATCAAAGTTCCCTATTAACAGTACTAATAGCTACAAAAATTATTATGGGAGAAGGATGAACAATCTCCTTCTGTATAATTAACTGTCCCTGAAAACTCACTGGAGGGTTGGCCATGAGTCAGTTCTGACTCGAAAGCACAACAACACAAAAATTATAGCCTGGGACAAAAGAAGACACAACTATTGCTGCTGACTCCACCAACCATTAATTAGCTAAATACTGAAAGGGAGGATTTATGGCTATGATAGAATTAAGATGTGCATAAATTTTTTGCCACCTTCTACTGAAAAACTAAAAAAAAAAACAAACCCTCATTGTTTCAAGTTAGAACCAACTCATAGCTGACCCTCTATCAAGTTTCTAAGGCTGAAATCTCATGGAAGGAGACTGCTCATCTTTCTTCTATACAGTAGCTGGTAGACTTGACCTGTCAGATAGGCAAAGCCTTTGGGTTAGCAGTATAACTCCCCAAGGACTATACCATCAGTTTTCTTCCCATTTAAAAGTAAAGTCTAATCCCCCTCCTTAAATCTGAATTGGCTATAGTTACGTGTTTGACTAACACAATGTGGTAGAAGTCGAGACTTCTGGCACTGCATGGTATACTTCTAGAAATATATAATCATTCTTTGAATCTAATATATAATCATTCTTTGAATCTAGCTGGCAAGATACAAAGAAAGTGATAAAGAAGAAGAGAGTACTAGAGGCATGCCTATACATGTTTCATGGACTACGCAAAGGCATTGGACTGTGTGGATCACAATAAACTCTGGCTAACTCTGAGAAAAATGGGAATCCCAGAATACTTGATTGTGCTTATACTTGGACCAGGAAGCTGTCTTCAAAACAGAGCAAGGAAACACTGCATGGTGCAACATTAGGAAGGATGTACACCAGGGATGTATCCTATCTCCATACCTTTTAATCCATATGCAGAACAGATCATCTGGGAGGCTGGATTCTATGAGGAAGAATGTGGCACTAGGATTGGAGGAAGCCTCATCAACAACCTGAGTTATGCAGATGACAAAAACTTGCTTACTGAAACAGAGGAGGACCTGAAGTGCTTGATGCAGAAGGTCGAGGACTGCACCTTTCAATATGTATTGAAGCTCAACATCAAGAAAACAAAGATTCTCATCACTGGGCCAATTGGCAGTATCATAAGAGATGGAGAAGAGATTGAGGTTATTAACGGCTTCAATTTGCTTGGGGCTCCACAATCTAGAGTGTTGGTACCAGCAGCCCAGAAATCAAAAGACGAATTGCATTGGGAAAGTTTGCTGTTAGGAACTTCTCCAGAGTACTGAAGAAAAACAATGTCAATCTAGAGACTAAAGTGTGCCTGATCCAGGCCATGGGTACATAATTACTTCCTATGTATCAGAAAGCTGGACAATGACTAGGGATAACAGAATGAGAATTGACACTTTTGAGCTGTGGTGCTAGAGAATGGAATATACTATGGAGAACAAAAAGGTTCGTCCTAGATGGGGTGAAGCCAGGCTGCTCCTTGGAGGCAAGGATTCTGAAGCTTCGTCTGACATACTTTGGGCATGTTGCAAGGAGAGACCAGTCCTTGGAGAGGGACATCAAGCTTGGGAGGTTGGTGGACAATGCAAGAGAGGAAGATTATTGATGAGATGGATTGACTCAGTGACTGGGGTAATCGGAGTAGGTGTGTCAGAGACAACAAGGTTGGCTCAGGATAGAGCAGGGTTCAGAGCTATTATATATAGGGTCGCTATGAATAGCAAGCAACTCAACGGCACATAACAACAGAACACTACTGCGATAGCTTACATACTCAAAATCCCAATTCACTGCCATAAAGTAGGAATTGAGTCGTAACTGACTCTTCAGTGGGTTTTCAGGCTGTGAATCACAGCAGAGGAGACTGTCCCATTTTGTTCTCTCAGAGCTGCTCGTGTATTCAAACTGTCAAAGGGGTGCCAATTTTGGATTAACAACCTAACTCCCTGTGGACTACATCAAAAGAACTCAACCCTTTATATGTTGTTGTTATGTGCCATCAGCACCGACCCGTCTAACCCTCTAGTAGGTTTTTAGAAGCATTAAATGGCATGGAAAGTGTGGTGTTAGTCTAAAAGGTGGCTTTTTTTTAGTCATTACAGTTAGCCCCCTCTGGTCTCCAGCTACCTTAACTGCAGACACATGGTCTTGCATATCATCAACATCAACAGCTATGAAACTAGGGTAAGAGGAAAAAGTGCTTCCCATACTGGGCAGCAAGATTTGAAGTGAGCTAGACTTGTGACACAAGACTTGAGGGATACTGGAGCGAGACCCTGGTGATAGTGGTGAAGAGACTGTGGCATTGTTGTGGAGAAACTGTGGCAAGGTGTGACCTGAGGCTTCTTGCATTTGTGGTGGCCACAGATAGGTTTTTGCCAGACGCTTTAAGGAGAAGCTGACTTATAAATGCTCTGAGACAAACCCTGTTGGATGATTTGGATTTGACTGCTAAACTGAAACCAGAGTCTGGAATAATTGAGGAATTGTGTCTTAGAACTTCTGGCTAAAATCTAGACTTGTTTGGGTAATATTCTTTGTCTCCTCCACTCTCTAACTTAATTCTCTTAAACTCTATTCTCAGTACCACAACTGTGAGTCTGAGAGTCAAAAACAAATAAACAAACTTCTTGCTGTTTGTTGGTGTGGCTCTAGAGGTACCATGGGACTGGGCTATGGGCTCTTTCTCTACTTTCTGCTCTGGGGTAGTGAGGGGTTGTGCTACTTTACTCTGTCTGGTCCTCTTAAGAGAGACATTCATGGTCCTGTGCTTAAATGTCTCATCTGCTCTTATCTAGACTGAAGAGGACTGTCTATTTTTCTCTCATGGAGTAGCTAGTAGATTCAAACACATGCCTTTAGGTTAGCAGTATAACTCCTTACTACTTCAACACCAGAGCTAATACATGGTTTGGCAATTCCAAAAGAAAAGATTTTTTTTCCTCAGGTTCATCATCTAAAAACCAATATATACATATACATGGCTTAATTTATAAAAGTAAAGAAATTTGGAAGTTAGGTTTTATTCTTTTAAAACCTAAATATCTTACTTTCCCAAAAGGCAGCATTACATTTATTTTGGTTTTAAATACAAAGAAAAATTTAAAGCTCTTACATCACATTTCCAACTTTCACTCTTAGTCTTCTTAATGGAAATAAATTCTTGCGCATTTTCAAGATGAAATCTATCAGAGAAAAAGAAAAAGATCATTATGAAGAGATTACACTAGTTAAGTCAATATTCCATATAAATCTGTTGATAATTATAAGAACCTCTAAATAATACAATCAGGTACATGTGAGTTTTACTTAAAAATCTAAGCATTTCTACCATTTAAAATAGTATATATAACTAAATTTATGCAGAAATAGTCCTAGGGAAACCTAATGATATTTTAAATTAATTTAGACATCAAGCTCTTTACAGATTATCTGCTATACATTATAGACAAAGTTAAGTGTAAAAAAAAAGTCCTAGAGCTTTAAGATCACATATTTTGAAAGCATATTTACCAAAACATAGATGTTACTGATTTATGTCCCCACAAAATGTTACAAATTCTAATCTTGCATTATTATCACATTAGATGGGTTGTATTTGTTATATTAATGGATAAGGACTAATTTAGGGTGTGTTTTAAGCAAATTTCTTTGGACTATAAAAGAGATAGACAAAGAGACAAGGGAAGAATGATGCCAAATCACACAAAATGCCAAGGTTAGAAGGCTCAAAAGATATGACACTCCTCCAGAGTGGAAAGCTTTCTCCCTAAAACTAGGAACCTAAATTTAGTCTCCTAAACTATACGAAAATAAATTTGTTAAAGTCACCTACTTGTAGTGTTTCTATTACAGTAGAAGTAGACAACTAAGACACTAAGGCAGAAAAGACAGACTAATGAAAATGACTTATATTATGGATTATGGTTGTTTTCACATCAAAAACCTTAACAAGGGCATGAATGAAAAAATATGAACTCAAAGGCTTTTACTGTTCTTTTCTTAATTTGTAGTCTCTGCTGCAAAATGTTAAGCAATAAAAAAACAAAAGGAAATGAAAACCACTTAGAGACAGAGTCTGTTTCCAGTTTACCAGATATTTAAATTAGAAGGCACAATAAAGTAGACTACGGAAGCAAGCTAATACTTGCCTCTTAACATGCTTGGCTAAAGTCTTCTTGCTTGCGTGAAGTTTATTACAGTAAGGGCACTTGTGCTCCTTCTTATGAAATTCTGTTTCATTATTGTGCTTCTTTCTGTGAACAGTTAGGTTAGATTTTGTTGAATAGCGCTGGTGACAAATATCACACTCAAAGGGCTTCTCACCTGTGTGAACACGGGTGTGGCTTTCATATTTCCCTGTAAAGGAAAGATACTATCATTAAATTCCGTATGTTTGCTATAAAATGATTGAAATTTGGCAATTAGACAAAATTGTGATTAGGAACATACTTAATATACATTTAAAAGCAAGGGGGGGGAAGTGAACCTAAATTTCTGCTTTATAAACTTCAGAAACTTATTGGGTTGTGTTTACCATTCAAAGTACATAAATCTTTTTCCTCAAATACTTGGGTAATTAAAAAAGAATATCAGTCATATTTACACATTTTAAAAAGTATGCATTTGGGGAAATTGAAAATTTGTCAGCAAAGTCTTTGAACTTAAATGCTGTTGTTGTGGTGTACTGTCGATTCAGAATCAAGTCATAGCTGACCATCTAGTAGGTTTTCAGAGGCAGTTAATTTCATGGGAGGAGACTGTTCATCCTTCTCCATCTGATAGATTTGAACCATGTGCCTTAAGAATTACAGCACAGCTTCTGGCCAGTAGGCCATCAGAGCTCCCTTTGAACTTAAATAGGACTTTAAAATGCATTTTTAATTGAAAATGAACCTTTAGCAAAAGTTCTACATAACATTTAAGATATTACTTTTCAGATTTTACTCACACTGTATATAAGCATATTTTTTAAAAAAATTGAGATTTGACAGCCCAATTAAAAAAAACATTACCAAAGACACAATAATTACGTTTTATATGATATTTTCATCTTACTTCCTGTATAAATCAATCTGGAAAAGATACCAAAAATACAGAATACAGGAAAAAAAACCAAACCCTGTTATAAAACAAACTCATCTGCACGAAATTTTTCCATTTTAAGACATAATAAGTAAATGACATCTATTCAACCACATGTGTAATTCAAAACTGCTAATGCCTAAGAAAGGAGCGCTCAGGCAGTTTGTAACCTGGTGGACTACTAACTGAAAAGTGGCTTGAATTCACCTGCTACTCCAGGGGAGAAAGATGAAGCACTCTCCTCCCATTTACAGCCTTGGAGTTCCAATGGAAGGTCAGAATCAAGTCAGTGATGACTTTAATTTTTAGTTAAAGCACAGAAAAGTAAGGGGTTGGGAGATGAACAGGAATGATGCATAGACAGAAAAAGCTGTCAAGAATTTGCATCATAATTTGAGTCCACATCTGAGTTCTGTATAGACATTATAGGTATTTTCAGTAGAATGAATTGAGTAGTTTTAACATATATTTCAAAAAGAAAAGTTACAAGTGAAAACCTGACAATATCATTCAGTAATGATATCAGTGTGTTGTAACTCTTGGTTCCAGCTGGACCTTAGGATGGCCTCTGGTGTCTTGAGGGGGGACACGTATGAAATGCTCGGGACTCTTACGGCTTTCTTTTTAGCCCATGAGGGTGTCAGCAGAGGGGACTTGGGGGGAAAATTGAGGGTCTCTGGCCCAGAGTCCGCCAGCATTTGGCTGTGCCAGAATTGTAAAATACTGAAATCTGTAGGCTGAAGGCTGAGGACTAGTGTGTTATGAATCAACAACAGCATAGAAAGAGATCATCAGTTGGTCTAGTGGACAGAAAGTGATGCTCCAAAGCCTAAAGTAGGTGACTTTAATCTACAGCCCTCAGGCCTGTTTTTAATTGTACTGGGTCAAACATTCTTCTAGGCCGTATAGCCCTGGTATGTCCACTTGTTGTACAGACGTAACTCGTGGTTGCTGTGATGCTGAACACTGTGACACTGATGTGTCAAATGTGATAATGGTTACCCAGAGTGGACAATGTTTGGTGGAGCTCCTCAGTTAAAACAAATCTGGAAACAGAAGTGGCATCCACTTCTGAACTAGCTTGCTTCTGCAAACCCTATGAACCTGGAGAAAGGATAAAAGTTATACAAGTGTTCAGATCTTTTGTTCATAAGGTTGCTATGAGTCGCCTATGACTTGACGGCATTTAACAACAACAATTTTTATTTACATTTCTTCTGGTGGCGTAGTCATAAGAAGCTGTACTGCTATGAAGGCACAGTTTGAATCCACTGGCTGCTCTACAGAACAAAGATGGGCAATCTCCTCCTGAGTGATTTACAGCCTCTGAAAACTCTGGAGGATCAACTATGAGTCGGTTCCAACTCAAAGATACATAACAACAAATTTAAAATAAAAAAGAAACTCTAACATTCTTATTTAGAACATGAATCTTTACATTCTAGAGACAGAACAAATTCAAGAGAAGGGTTAGGGTTAGGGTTAGGGTCTTTCATACTGAGGATATGATTCCTGGGTCTTTACACAGCAGGCCACCTCCCTTTACGTAATAACCACTCTATGTTTCAAATCTTCCTCTTCTGAAAAATTAGGATAATAATAGTACACAGACACACACACAAATATATGATTGCTCTATGAATTAGTGAATCCACAAAACACTTGTCACACTGACCTGGCATATTTGAAGTGATCAAAACATGCAGAAATAGCATTTATTTTTATTACAGGAGCTCTGACTGCACTGTGGCTAATCAAAAAGGAAACAGTTACAGTGCACTAGTCACTCCATGGGAGAAAGATGAGGCAGTGGACTTCTTAAAAAAGATTTACAGCTTTGGGAACCCAAAATGCAATTCTATTCTGTCCTATAAGGTCCCTATAAGGATGCTCAATGACAGAGGGTTTTATAATTCCCAATGTAATCTAAATTGTATTCAGTGGTTTGAATCCATAAGCTGCCCTTGTGGAAAAAAGACAAGCAGTCTCCTCTCATAAAGATTTATAATCTCAGAAACCTGTGGCAAATCAATAAAAGTAGGACTGACTCAGTAGGTTAAGATTTTTTGTTTGTTTGTTTGTTTGCTTGTTTCCTTAATCTAAGCTGTGAATGTGGACTAGTAGCTTACAGTAGAGACTTCAGTAAAAGATACTTTCAAGTAAAATCCAATTTCACAATTTAAAGCATCATCAGTATGAAGAGCAATTTCCAATTTAAAGGGATAGAGTGTTTTCCCCGTTTTGCAATATAAATATAAAAATTAATTATTCTGAGACAAAAACTATTGTGAAACAACAGAATGCCAGGCATAACTTTTTAAAAAATTATAAATTTATAACGGCCATTAGGAAGAACCCAATATAGCCTGCCCAAGGGCACTAAGGTGATAAAAATATCATTCTTATTCTTTATAAATCTACCACTGGATTTGTTATTGGGTGTTGCCTCAGTGGTCACATGACAGGGTAGAATAGCCCCCATAGGGTTTTCATAGCTGTTACCTTTCAGCAGACCACAGGTCAAAGCTATGATCTGTGGAGATACCTCTGCTTGACTCTTTTCAGTTAGCAGCTGGGTACTTAACCATTTCTCTATCAGGACACTTTACATATTCAACATAATTATATATGCTTGAATTTAATAAACAATAGATACATTATAGAAAAAATCCTTAAAATTACATTGTACTTAATTACATAAAACTGAAGAAAATACTATTTTTCCTAAAGGTCAGGATAACAGCATGAATCACAGATGGGTAATAAAAATAAGTTTATGATAAAAATTCATCAAGGATTTTGGTATAGACCACAAAAATAATGGTTGCAGTTGCTGGGTTCCATGGATTTGGTTCTCACACGTAGGGATCCCTGTGTATAGTATAATGAAAGACTGCCTGACCCGGAGCCACTCTCATCTCATAACCTAAGCTCACTGTTGCAGCCACTGTGGCAATTTCTCTCTTTGATGGTCTTCTTCTCCTTCATTGACCCTTTACTTTTCAGAGTATGATGCTCTTCTCAAGGATTGGCCCTTCCTTAAAACATGCCATAAAGATGTGAGAAATCTCACAACTATACTTCTAAGGAGCACTCTGGCTGCACTTCTAAATTGTCTGTTGAACTGGCAGTCTATGATTTATCTGTCATTCTTCAAATAGATAATGGCATTTAAATTTTTCATATGTATAAACCCAAAAACTTAAAGAGTTTGGGCACCTGCTAAATCATCTATGTGACCTTAGTTAAACTAACGACTTAATCTAGCTCTACTGTCATTTAGTAACAATCATGTTTTGTGAGAATAAATTTATACACACACTTACAATATCCACCCCTTAGTAAGTACTAGTCATAATTATTGAGTCCTTAAATAGGGCACTCAATTAGTCATGGTTTGTACTTTGGATACATAAAGTCACCAGGAATTGGGAACTGACCTGAAGGCAGCTAAACACCACTACATTGGTATAAATATTACTAATCACTGTATGGAAATACATGTGTCCTTCAAATAAAACTATAGCTATACCTGGGAGCTCTGGTAGCATAGTGGTTAAGAAGTTGCACTGCAATCTTGAAGGCACTAGGTTCAAATCCACCAGCTGCTCTGCAGGAGATAGATGGGCAATCTCCCATGCAATTAAACTCCCTCTAAAAACCGGCCAGACGGTCGGTTAGTACTGACTCTACTGTACGTAACAATATCTGACTTACTGGTTTCTATGAGAATATACAAAGCTGGGGTTTCAGCTCTATGAGAACATTAGCAGGCCCTTGCTTTTCTCCCTCAGGAATGTCAAAAGAGCCTAACATCTCCGTTTCCTCTCTGTCACTTTTGGGGCAGCAGAACTTCCACTTACAAAGGCAATATATATTCTACCATCAATATTTTGCCTATGTTCAAGGGGTAAAGTGTCCTTTTGTGTCTAAAGATGATATCTAGAATAAGTTGTCACAGACATCACAAATAATCATTAGGCTAGGTTCTGTAAAAAGCGAAAAAGTGGAACTACAATGGTTATTAGTGTTCAAGAGTGTTCCTTGGGTTGTAACCAGAGTTGGGCAGAGAGAGAGGGAAGAGTAGTAGTAAATATCAGAATGAATTTACATAAATGTCATAAAATTTTACTTCATGTGTACAACGTGTACTTATGTACACATAAGTGTAAATATGTATTTATCTTGTGTAACTGATAACGTATTTCTTCCTTGAAATAAGTCTGAAAATGCTACTTTAGATTATAATTGGTAAGTTATATACAGAGCATAAA